CGGACGGCGAGAAACGCACGATGACGCGCGGAGCCGATTCGAGGGCGAGACAGGTCCACCCTGAGGAAGCTTACGGACACCCTCCGCTGAGCGACGCCGTCCGCACGCGCGCGAACGATTATCACCGGGGAAAGCCGAGGGCAGACCGTCGCTTTACAACAGTGACTTTACACTTTCCCGTCGCGACACTATAAGAAGCGGAATCCTCGCTTTTGCGCAGAGGAACGACGGCGGACCAGCCGCTCTGGCCTCCGAAAATGTCGTCTGGCGTGCAGCCGCGTGCCCGCTTGACGCAGCGCCCCGGATGCTCCTCGTTCTTCCGTTTTATAGAGTAAAAAAGGAACCGACGAATAATTTCTTATCCTTTTTTGCCTGTTTTTATCAGAGTTGGCAATGACCGTTTTTTTTTCTTTAAGAATGAAATATTATGTTTCTCATGTTTGTAATGCTTCAAATATGCTTTAAACAGTATTATAAAAAAAACCTGTTTATAACATATTGAAAACAATTAAGCATGTTTTAAACTATTTAAAACATGTTTAAAATATGTTTTTTTACCAACCCTGGTTTTTATCAATATTCAACTTTCACCTCGGTTCAACTAAATCTTCATCTTTTTCTTGTGTTCTAAGAATGAGAAAAAAATGAAGAATAAGTTGAACTGAGACTAAAGTTAAAATACATTGGTAAAAACTGACATTAAACGCAGTTCTACCAATTATCGTTTTACAAGAATTTTCTAAAAATTAGAAAAAGACAGAATAAATTAAACGGCCTTAAAATTAATTATGTTGGTAGAAATGGACATTAATATAAAAACTACATAGAAGAAGAGTCTAAAAAATTTAGAGATTCAACACAGTGTATAATATTAAATTCCGATCAATTTAATCGATGATTAATTTGCAGAATTGCTTCAACAAAATTACTATTTATTTAATTCGTCATTCTTTAATCTCTTTCCATTAATTTAAATAATAAAAAATTAATATTAATTCTTATCATCCTGAGTGGAAATGTATCTGGATGTTCCAATGTTCTACATTGGGCCTTGTGAGGAAGGTCGTGGCACGCCAGTATCGGAAATCTAGTTGGGCGCTATCTAGCATTTTATCTAGGCACTAGACAGAATTATGCTGGGGTGCCAAGATGGGAAAACTAACCGGAGGCTAGCTAGCGCCTGGCCGGTGAGGCAGGATCATAATAACCATGGTAGAAGTATAAGTGAGGCACTAGATATGTAGGTATTCTCATCCGCCATCTTGGTTCCACTTGATTGATAGGTTACAGTACGATTAGTGACAAAGGTATATGTTAAGAAGAGCCCAAATTTTGATAAAAATACACTGAATCGATGCGTTTTCGCGTAAAAATAAAGATTTGACAAAAAAAAGTGTCACTCTGTCCTGCGAACCGAGATATTAATCCTTAAAGTAAACAACTATTCGGGTTAGAAAATCTGTGGTTCACTGCGTTAAAAACACAAATTTATTGCTTTTAAAATACAAATTCACTACTTTAGCAGAGAATTTATGTTTTTAAGGCATAGTGAACCACTGTTATAACTGATTTTCCAATCCGAATAGTCGTCCACTTTAAGAATTAATATCTCTGTTTGCGAAGCAGAGCGACATCTTTTTCTTGTCAAATCTTTATTTTTCCGCGAAAATGCATCGATTCAGTATATTTTTATCAAAATTTGAGGTAAGCGGGCTCTTCTTAATTAACATTTACCTTTGTCACTAATCATACTATACAATCAAGTAGAATCAAAATGGCGGATAGGAATACCTACATATTTAGTGCCTTATAGAGTCCTATATATAAAGAGAAGCAACATTGACGTCCAAGTTTTTGATTGGCAGTCTGATATGTATTCTGATTGGGTATCTCCTCCTAAGTGAAACAGCCATATTGTAACCGCAGCTGTTTACACAACTGACACACGTGGCCGTCGACCACGTTGTTTGCACTATTTAATGCGTTATATAAGCCTTAAGTAATTGGTCAATTTTTTACGGCTTAAGGCTTAAAATATCTATTGTAGACCTAACTAATGAAATACTTTAGAGCTCACTCCGCTAACGGAATCAACGGAGTACAATGTTGGTGGTTGGAGTATGTTTATGTTTACGACACTGGAGCGGTCGAAACATGGCGGCGTAGGGAGGGATAGTAGGGCGTAGGTAGTGATGGTAGGGATCCGATCTGGTGATGGGGGTTCGATGTCGCTTCTCTTTATATATAGGACTCTAGTGCCTTAGTATAATAGCGTTTTTCATTGGGATGCACTGGGTGCGCACTAGAAATTTGTCGAGTTGAGATGGCACTGCCCGAGTTTATCGATAGTGCAAGTTTTTTGCACGTCCAATGAAACACTCGCGACTCGATGGGTGCGCTTAGTGGCGTCATTTTTAAATTTCTCGAACATTGACATTTTCCGTTTGCAGCTTACAGAAATGAATCATTTAGAAGTTACAGAAATGCCTCCAATTCGATTTAAAATAAATAATAGTATTTTGATAATATCACTTCAAAGTGGCGAAGAAGATCTTCATCATAAATTGTTGAGTAAGAATATATATATATGTGTATTCCGCCAAATTGCATAACCTATAGCCTGTAACTGTGAAGAAAATTTATTATAAGCTGCTTTCCTTATTAAAAAAATCTTCACTACATGAATAATGTGCTACTAAATATACTTATTACTACACATTTTTATTCGCGTGGATTTATATTTTCTTATCGTGTGGTTTTCATACGAGGTTTTTGTTTATAAATAAATATACATAGATACTTCGCACAAATCGGATTCTGCCTGACTTTTAAAAATTTGATTGATTGTCAGACTGAAACTATTGATTATCAGACGTCTTGAATTTTTCTAGACATATAATTCATATTTATGAGCATTATGAAAATCACAACGTTTCTGATAATTCTTAAGCCTTGTGTCCACGATGCTAGAAATTGGTCCGAGATCTCGGAAAGAGAAAGAATTAACCAATCACATTTAAACAATTTAGTCACATGATCAATGCGATTGGTCAATTCTTTCTTCATCCGAGATCTCGGACGGATTTCTAGCATCGTGGACACTGGGCTTTACACCTATAGGTTTTCAAGATACTTGTAGGAAAATGATACAGGTTCGGTTATAACCTACAATGAAAACTTACCTCGTTATCAGAAAAATTATGTATTACATCTAAAAAGTTTTTTATTTTTGGAATATTACGTTTTTCATTTATAAATAAAAAATCGTCATCATCACTACTTGATGACGACGAGAGAAGATCGAGTATTATTTACATATCGTTTTCATTTATAATTCCCGCAGCCATATCTTGCACGCAACCGACACCGTCCCTTGGAGCTCGTGCTAGATTTTTGCACGAAAGTGCGAAATCTCGGCACTAGATTTACCAATGAAACAACACGCACGATCTTCGTGCGCACTGAAATCGCCAATGAAACACGTAGTCCGCACCTAGTGCGCACCAGATTTCCCAATGAAAAACGCTATAAGAGTACGCTCTTGCGCATGGCCACGCCCACTGTCCAATCAAAATATACAAGCATACGTCATTATTAAACGCGAAATTCGAAAGTATGCTTTTAAGCATGCCTTTCAATCCGAAAAATTTTCCGACTCCTTTCGATCCGATTCATTTTTTATCTTATGATGATAATTTTCGCATCCTTTAACCGCACAACGTATTTTGAATGTGAAATCACTCGACTTTGCACTACAGAATTTATTCGGCATGTGCTGCACATATGTTGGCGACATGACGACGATATTACATTGACACGAACTGCTCCGGATATAGCCGAAGGCTGGCCGAATGTGACGTATGCTTGATACATGCGCAGTGATCTACCACTGATTGAGCATACCCTTATACTTCTACCATGATGATAACCATTTTTTAATATATATAACTAATGTTATTCAATAATATAAAGTAAGAAGTAAGAATAAGAAATTGACCAATCACAGTCGATATCGACGACAGTATTCTTCTCACAATCGACTGTGCTTAGTCAATTTCTTACTCTTCTTACTCCGTGAATTATAGACGACGCATTATGCGTTTAAAATTTATTTTAAACTAACTAGATTACCCCGTTCCTTCCTAGATAGCGACTAGACAGATTTAATATCTTGGGGCAACACACTCGTGATCAAGGCCTAGACAGTTTTCTCAAATTTCAGCGGCACCACTTCGCGAACCAGGACCTAGACAATTTTCCAATATTGGGCCTACAGCGCATCGCGAACTAGGGCCAAGAAAGTTTCCCAATATTGGGGCTGGTCATTATTGCCGTTACCACCCAGTATAACCCCAGGCTAGCCTTCCAATATAGCGCCTACATTAACTCGTGGAAAACTAGATGGGGGCCATATAGCGCCAGGTCGTAATTTCCACCCGGGATCTATATATTCTATACTTTATTAATTCAACTAATTAATTAAAACTTGACGTTATATATAAAGATTTACATAAATTATCAAGTAATTTAATAATATGGATATGTAAATATTTATATAACGTCAAGTTTTAATTAATTAGTTGAATAATCATTTTGTCGAATCACCCCAAGTATAGAGAATGCAGAGCAATGATATGACCTGCGTTGTTCAAATATCAAAGGTCTGTTTTTTATAGCTGAACCATAATATATAACATACACTCTTTAAAGTGAAATAAATATACGTTTGATATATATTTGGCAAAAATAAGGAGGTATAAATCCATATTATTAAATTACTTGATAATTTAATCATTTTATCGAATCCAAGTATAGAGAATGCAGGACAATGATATGACCTGCGTTTTTCAAATATCAAAGGTCTGTTTTTTACAGCTGAACCATAATATATAACATACAGTCTTTAAAGTGAAATAAATATACGTTTGATATACATATATTTGGCAAAAGCAAGGAAGTAAATTCTAGTCCACAATGCAGCAATAAAAAACAAACCTCAAGTCAAGTACAGGCAAAAGTGCACGTGGCGCGTGCAGGATTAGTCACGGCCATGGATTTTTGCAGGCAGTACGCGTCACCGCAGGTCGATACATCTCGAAGTCGCACGAATACGATACCGCTCGATGCCGACACTTTGTTCCCGTTGCTGTCGGCCGCCAGCTGTATCCGGATCGACGCTCGTGATACCGGGAGACAGAAAGAGAAAATCGTTCGTGCATTGACGATCCGTCAGGGTCCCGAGTGAAGTGTCTACGGCGAGTCAGCATCGAGATAATCCCTGACACGGGCCGGCAGTTCTAGATAAGTCATTATCTCGTAGATAGATATTCCCACGAGGAGATCTACGCCGCGGAGCACGCCGAAATGACCAAGTCGGAGAATATCTTTTTGTTCGTGCCGAATATCATCGGTAAATACCTAATCTCGAGATATTTTCCTTGTGAGATAATCACACTGACGAGTGCGACGTGTGGAACCATTATTTTTTATGCAATACGCAGTAAGACTGGGCAGGTATCGATGCCCGCCAAGATTCAATTGAATGAGACACAGGTGGCTGGAAATCGGATTTTCTCTCGACAAATCGTTCCATGTAATTCGAAGTAATTCAGTCGATGAGACGATCGTATAAAACTGCAAATCTTGCGGCTGTACGACGGCTTTTTAAGGTTGCATTGTATTGATTGAGTCAGCCGCTATTGTTTTATGTAACATTTATATCGGCCAGTCAATAATAATTTTCCTTGTAATTCTTTCAAAGTACTTAATTTCTATTTTCAGCTTCTGAAAGAGTAAATTTTGAATTATTTTCCGATTGATTATAATGATAAAACAGTAGTTAAAGTCATGTTTACGTACCAAACATAACAGAAAATATAATTATGCATTTCAACAGGTTTCGGCAGAGTGATTCTGGCATTGATTTCCTTCTACTTTATGTCTACCAACTACGTCATTGCATCATGGTGTTACGTGGTTAGCTCGTTGCTGGATGCTATAGACGGCCATGCGGCCAGGTATTACAATCAGAGCACCAAGTTTGGTGCGATCTTGGATCAGCTGACGGATAGAATCGGCACGATGTGTCTCATGGCTACATTGTGCCAATTCTATCGACCCTACACCTTCTGGTTTCAATTGAGCATGGCTATCGACATATCGTGCCACTGGATATATTTGCACACGTAAGAAATATCGTATAATACATTTATGCCCGTATTCATAGTCAGGCTTTATATTTAAGGCTTCCTTAAATATATCTTCAGATGCTCTACGAATTATTTCATTGGCTACTAGAGCATCTAAAGATAAATTTAAGGAAGCCTTAAGCACAAGGTCTGACTATGAATACGAGCCTTAGATTGTAATACATCAGTGCTGTCCAAAATCTGTTATTCTAAGCACTGGCTTGATATCAGCATTTACGTTTTTTACCTTCCTTTTCCTATTCTTTCTCTATTAAGAAAAAGGAAGTTAACAGGTGTAAATACTGATAGGTTAAGCCATTGTATAAAATTACAAATCTTAAACAGCACTCATAAACATAATAGGTGTAGACTGCGCATCGATCTTAGTTTCTGTGTTTTGTTGGAAACAATCAGGGCTGGGTAATCATTTAAAATGCCAAATATAAAATACTTAAAAAAATGTATTTAAAATGTAAAATGTTTTTCGAATCCACTTTATATGTAAAATGGGTAAATAGATATTTTAAATAGTTTTCAAATACAGAATGGTTTTCCTTACATACATTTTAATATACATTTTTTTAAGTATTTTACATTTAGCATTTTAAATAGAATTACATTTTAAATGGCATTTTAAATGCAAAAATACCCAGCCCTGGAAACAATTGAACATATCTCTCTTCAATTATCAGCTCTCTTCAGATGTTTTCTATTGCTGAGAACTAGTGTACACTTTTTAAAGTGAGATAGGTTTGTTTTTGATATTTTGTGAAAGCGAGAAAGAGAGTTGTAGTAGTTTAGTGCAGGAATAAAAAACAGACCTTTTAACTTGATACTTTAGAGAAAGAGAGCGATATGCTTCAAGCTAATGTTCCTATTATCGGAACTCTTCTTCAAACTACTTCACTCTTTCTAATCCAATAGCGACAACTTCATAGAAATGCACAGTCTGTTCTTATTACGTCTAAGATAGCACTGTATTACATGAATAATAATGTATGCGGCGTAAACTAGTAAAGAAATGTAATAATTGCCTTATCGAAATACATCAGGACTCTTCTGCAAGGAAAAACCAGTCATAAGTTTGTCGATATGTCTGAGAATCCGATCATGAGACTGTATTACACAAACCGTATGGTACTATTCTTCATGTGCGCTGGCAACGAAGCATTCTACGCTGGTCTGTACCTATTGCATTTTACCCCAGGACCAATTTGTAAGTAACATTGCAATACCATGTTTCTTTCTCAAATGTGAAAACGTATAATGACATTTTATCTTGCAGTTGCGGGTATGAGTCTGTACAGATTAATCGTGCACTTGACCTTCCCGATAGCATTTGTCAAAGCTGCTATCTCTCTATTACACGGATACGTGGCGTGCATCAATCTCAGCATCATTGACGTGAAAGAACGCCAAGAGCGGCTTAAAGTGAATTAAAAATCTCTCGCTCTCTCGACGCATTGTTTGCTAGTCAAGTTGAATGTGATCTACAATCTTCCTATTCTATAAATTGATACACGCATGTTTACATACTTCCATATATATTTTTAAGAAGCAGAAAGAACGTGTTTAAAAATGCGTGGTCAAAAGATGTCTTTCTTTAACTTATAGACCTATCTTGTAAGTTCGAACGACAATGATTTTTATCGCTATATATTATCCCAGATATAATGTATAGTAAAAAAGTTTAATGATAACACTCGTCAGAAGTTTAACGACAACACTCGTCAAAAGTTACAGAATAGGCCTATTAGTTGATGCGCAGGAAATATTATTCTTTAAAAATAACCTGAAGATAAATGGCCAAACTCTCTCATGTTAGAATATATGTGAAATGTATACTTTTATGAAAGAGGAGAGGAATTTATTTTTCAAGCACTAATAGTGACAAAGACCAAAATATTTCGTTACCAACATAGCATAGTTCGTAAGCTGCGTTCAGCAGAAAAACAATTTTGCAACTGCTGTAAAATTCTTTAATATGATTGGTCTTTCCTTTGGTTTCTCATTGAATCTAAATGTATAAATCGATCATATTAAAGAATTTTACAATACTTGCAAAACTGGTTTTTCTGCTAAACGCAGTCATAGTCTAGGTCCATAACCTTGCTTTAAGAGGCCGTAAGCTATAAAGCCTTAAGAAATTGACCAATCACAGTTGAATATGAGAAAAATAATCGACTGTGATTGGTCAATTTCTTACGGCTTTACGGCTCAGGGCCTCTTAAAATAAGGTTGTGGCCCTAGTTGCCCGTACATAGGCCCGTATTCATAGGGCGGTATTCATAATCCGTTCTTATTTCAAGATCGTCTTAAGTAATGTCTTAAAATGCTAATACGGCCTTCTGATTGGTTCGTGACATCTTAAGACTGTACTTACTCAAGTAAGACGGTCTTTAATATAAGAATCGACTATGAATACCGCCCATAGTCAGGCCTTATATTTAAGGTTTCCTTAAATTTATCTTCAGATGCTCTACGAATTATTTTATTGACTACTGAGCATCTAAAGATAAATTTAAGGAAGCCTAAAGTATAAGGTCTGACTATGAATACGGGCAATAGACTCGTTGTGTAGGATATCATTTATAGCATTTATTATACACTAGAACAGTAAGTTATTGATGTTCTACTTTCAAGATCTTGGATATGTAGAAATTACAGATTCCTATCGATATTCCTTATATCTTTTTATATTTTTCCAGTAGACAGTTTAGAGGACCTAACATATTCTTCGTGTAACACATTCTACATGTATACAGCAAAAATGATTTCGATGTATCACAATGTGTTGAATAAAACATAATTTTAACATTTCCTTGCTTAAGTTTATTACACTGAATTCTATGAATATCAAAATCAGCATATACAAGAGGACGAACTGTAATTGTATGAACATTATGCATACATCAGCTCCATTCAATTTGCAACATATGGTAAACAAAAATAATATTTAAAAAAAAACACTATACGCATAGTAGTCTCTTTTCAACTAGATATAAACTTTGTATAATACAAATTCAAAACAAGAGATATATTATCAATATATCGAACATGATAAGCAAAAATATTCTCAATTTGTGACGTAAAGTAATGTAAAGGAAAGGATAAGGGACCGTGTAGGATACGTTGGATATGTTGCAGAGAATAGCCGACATATTTCGTATTATCGCGCTCGTTCCGCACGGGGAGCCTGGCGACGATGTCACCGCGGGGACAATGACGCGCGTGACTATACCGTAATTGAGGCACCTGCCCATAAAAACAACGTTAATTATAAAACGTGACGGATAGTTTCGCAGGCGCGCGACCGGGCGCGCGATACGTTCAACGGGCCGCGTGTCCACTGTAGGGCTCGAGGCGAAATGACGGCGGAACGAAAAGGAAATTCGACACCGCGATGACACAGCGGGTGACTCCGGGCGAGAAGGTGGAAACGAACGTACTAACCTCAAACTTCTCGCTCCCCCGACGTGACCAGTCATAATTTCGGCGCCATATTATCACTTCAAACACTCGCGCATATCGAGGAAAGTTGGCCAACCTCTGTCGGAGCACCTTCTTCTTATCGCCGGGACACCATGAAGGGCGATCGTCGCGGCGAACGACCCGCGGGGACGCAGCGGAGGGTGTCGGTCAACGAACGTCGGGAGTTTCGAACGCGAACGCGGCACGCGTAGCAAAGTACAATATTTATAAAAACAGACGAGGATCCAGAGCACCGGCGCTCGTCGAGACGGCGCGATTCGGCAGCGAGACGGTAGCGCCACCATCGTCGCCGCTGGGTAGCTACCGCTGCGCCGGCCGATGTCCCTTCGCGACCATTCAAATCTGCGGATAACCGCCGCATCCTGTCACCGAACGCCTCTAATCGGCGCGATAAAACGAGCTGAACGCGCCCATCGCGTTCGGCTCACTTCCGCGATTACTTCGTTATGCTTCGTCACGCGATCTCGACATCTCTCACGACGAATACATTAGAAAAAAAATTAATTACTCTCCGGTTTAATAATTCTCACATCGAGTTTTCGAATTACGAGCGAATCAAAAATAAGGAGCTTCTCTATTTGACGAATCTATATTTCTCTCTTTTTCTTTTTCCTCTCTTTTTACGAAAAAAAAACTTTATTAAATTTTAAACTCATCTCCAGGTTGAGCAAAATTCCAACTGCTCTCCACATTCTCCTTATTCTCGTAATATAACGACAAGCTGTTCGCTAAGATTCAAATCTGCCCTTGAAGGATATACCAACTTTAGATTTCCTTGGGTGTCGACTACTTTAACTTGTTGAACCGTCAAGTTGTTACACTTGTTATCCGTATCCTTCGATTCTGCGGAATCGGTGAGACCCGAGACTATCAATTCCTTCAGAAATTGATCCAACACATTCCTGGGAATAAAAGAGTACAAGATGTTGTTAGAGAATTGGTCTCTTTTTTAAGTTTTTCATTTGTTGGTTAATTTGTACATTTAACCTGGTATTTTATTCAATATTGGTTAAATATTGGCTCAAGATTGATCTAATATTAATCCAATATATCTTTTATTCTACATTTAACAAAAATATTACTACTAGAATAGATTAATTTTAATCTTGCTTCAAGTAACTCTTTATCTTCTAGTTCTAAGAATTAAAAAAAGATAACAAATAAATTGAACTGATTGTGAGATTAATCTACATCGCTAGAAATGAGCACACAACCGGTTGATTTCTTAGTTTAAGACTTACTATATCTATCATGTATATTTCGGAACTTACAGTTAAAAAGAGTTGAGATATAGTGTATCGTTCAAACATTGTTACATATACATTAGAATCTCACCTGCAAATTGTGTGTGATATAGCACTAGTTACTTCCACAAGCATCTCTTGGGTGGCTACAGTCATTTTCGTTATATCACTGTTTGTGATGGGTGGAAACGAAATAACTTGCTGCGATTGGTCCAACAGACATGGGAATAAAGGTTTGCCTTCCAGCAGATATAGATACTTGTGTATTCCAGAATACACATTTCGTTTCTTCTCTTTACGTAAAGTCTCAGCTTCCATCTGCAACTTCTGAAATAGATCCGCGCCTGTGTACATCTTGTTGTACATTAGAGGCTTTATTTCAAATTCTGTGGGCACCTTCGCCGTATATGTGAGATCTCCTATGAGTAACAAAATGCATCTTGATAAAACATTAAAGCACAAATAATATAATTCTTATTAAATACTCGATATCTACCAGGTACAATGAGTTTCAAATCGTGAGTTGCTATTGTAGCTGCATTCCTTTTCTCACATATTCCATCGTGTAATCTTGTCTGCAGCTGAATAAACTTTTTGAAACTCTCCTCTGTGAAGTTTATATTTTTCACAGTACACGCAGCTATATAAGGCCTGATACTTTTCACGTGTTCTGTAATTTTTATCACTGGTGTGTCGTCCAGTACTTTCAAGATTTTTAATTTATGCGCCAAGCCGTCGACTACACTTTCACCTTCGGATACTTTCTGGCTCCTCTTCCCTTTCTTTGACGTATTATTTTCTGTCGTGGACAATTCACTTCTTGGGCAGTGCGATTTGACATAATCCAATACTTGCTTCGTGGAGCACTGATTAATTAATTTTGTTAGCCTCCTATCCGACAATTTATTCCCTTTCAGATACACCTCCTTCAGTTTAGTACAATCTGCTAATTCACTTGGTACAACTGCGTGTTATAATACAATTAAAGTATTACTTATCTTTGAATGTTTAATGATACTTAAGAATATTCAAGGACGAAATTCAACGAGAAACATACATATGGTATGGAAATAAAGTTGCATTACCAGAAATTAAGTTATCTGCTATATTTAAAATCTTCAATCCCTGCAGTCGGCTTACAGTAATTGGAATTTCCGTTATTTGATTGCCATTAACGTAAATCTCGAACAAATGTACGAGTTCTGTGTGACAAACGTCGGGAAAGGCCTCAAGGCGATTGTTCGATAGCTCTAGGCTGCTCAATTTCGTGCACAAAGTTAGCGACGGTACATCTCGTAGAAGATTCGAGGCAAGATTGATCGTGCTCAAATGGGGATGATCACCGAGTTCCCTCGGGAGAGAGGTCAACTTGTTCATCGAGCAATCGAGAACCTTCAGCTTGGCCAGTTTAGCTATCGCGCACGGTAACGTGACGATCTCGTTCGAGTGCAGCACCAAAGTCGCAAGATTCGCCAGCTTCTCGATCTCGTCCGGCACCTCCTGAAGACACGTATGCGTTATACTGAGATAATTTAAATTGTGGAGGTTAAACAAGTTCTTATCCAGGCCGGATAGTTTCATCAGTTCGGACACCGATGTGCCCGACAGCACCAGCTCGTGCCTGTTTTTCTCGGCCGCTTGTTTCACGACCTCCCATGAATCTTCGAGAGTCATTGTGGCAATTTCTCTTGTTTAAAATTTTATTCACTCTCGTGCAACCACAATGTAAACAGACAAGAAATATTTTGAGGTTATTCGTGTTTTGTAGGTCTGCTCATGATGCAATGCAAGCGGACTTTGCATTGCATCATGGGTTGGCTAAACTCGGCTAAACTCGATCGATTAATCGAATCTCATTTAAATTCAAAGCTCGATTGTTCTTTCGATTTTTTTCAAATTTACGAATTCAAAGAAATTTTGATCGTCTAATGTCCATTTCTATTTTAGGTAATTATTTAGAATGCCATACTCTCTCCACCTAAAATCTTAATAAAAATACACTCATTCGACGCGTTTTCACTCAAAATGAAAGAATCTGGCAAAAAAATGCGGCGGTCGGCCTCATGAACGGAGAGATATTAAGCGTTAAAGTTCGAGATTTTACAGGTTAAGATATCTGCCATCCCGATTCAATATAGCTATGTATATGTTCTGCTTTAATTACACAAATTCACTGCTTTAAAAACAATTTCTCTGCTTCACAAACACAAATTTACTACTTTAAAGACACAAATTCACTGCTTTAAAAATATAAATTCACTGCTTTAAGCACACAAATTCTTTGCATTAACAGTGAATTTATATTTTTAAAGCAGTGAATTTGTGTTTGTGAAGCAGAGAATTTGTTTTTAAAGCAGTGAATTTGTGTAATTAAAGCAGAATGTATACATAACGCTGTATCGAGTGGAGCCCAGTAAACGAGAATGAATTAAAATGGATTGAAATTTTTTTCTATCCGAATGCGTATTTTAAATAGCGAATACTTTTTTTTGGATTTAATTGGATTCAATTGGATGCAATTGGATTGAAAAACTGCATTTCCTATTCAAAATTTTGAATTGAACAGTATTCATAATGCACAGAAAACACTGATATTATTTTTAGATTGAAAAGCATAGATATGCTCTATGCAATTCTTATAAATGAATAAAAATGCATTCAGAATTGAAAAGCATTCATTTTAACATTCGTGAATCTATATTTCTGAAAATCTGAATCCATTTCAATCCATTCTCGTTTACTGGGAGATGACAGATATCTTAACCTCTAAAATATTAAATTTCAACGCTTAATATTTCGGTTCACGAGGCCGACCGCCGCATTTTTTGCCAGATTCTTTCAAATTTTGAGTGAAAACGCGTCGGACGAGTGTATTTTTATTAAGATTTTAGGAGTATGGTATTCTAAATAATTACCCTATTTTATATTCACAATGAGTGCGTTCGTAGAAACGTTATTCGCGCTATTTAACGCTACAAGTTGTTCGCAGAGTTGCAAATAGTGCTAACAAACAATCATGACGTCACTAATGGACTAATGGTACTAATGGACTAATGTGTTACATCATAACTGCGCATTCCTTCCGAGATAGTGTATTGGTAGCGTTAGCGTTTGCAAGCTCTGTGAACAGCACTGTTGTGAATTACTACGCGATCGAATGTTGTTTCAAGAACCGCTACAGATTATAAACTTTCCCTGAACCGTCCATAGGTTCCCCTGTATATTAAAAAATTCAGATTGCGTTATTCACTGCATCGCCCCCTACAGCACAAAGTTGCACAAAAGTTGCAGCAATATTGCAGAGATTTTGCAATGATGCTGCAAATTCTGTGCTGTACAAAGTAAGGTATATGCCTAAGGAAAACAAGAAGATCAAAATAATGTCAATTTGACATCATATTGACGAATTTATGTCATTTTTTGGTACACTGAGAGAAAACAAAATAGTTCCAGCAACTATAAATTTGGCAACTTTTGCAATTGAAGTACCTGTAACTAGTTTTACAAAGTAATAGAAACTAAAGTAGTGCTGAATATTATAAAAATATAGTCACGGTAATAAATTGTATGCACTATTAATTAGTAGTGAAGTAGTGACTCAACTACACATTGAGTTACTTGGACTTCATGCAAATAGATATAACAATTACATTTTTCTAGTTTAGACAAAAATTTTTAAAGGGTCGCTCAGTACGAGTAGTGCGCGGCTTTGTCACCAGAGGGACGTAGCGGAGTTCAGTTTTCCCTAAGAAGGAAACCACTCAGCTTACAATAAAAGGCGCAGCGTTGGTTTCAAACTTGGAAGACAAAAATAAATAAGAAATGCGTACACAAATTTGTAACTATGTATTATAAAGTTTTAATAACAACAATAAGTAAATTAAGTGAACTAAGAAAATATAGTAATATTAACCATTTATAAATTGTTTATATGGTTAATGTATTATATTTTCTTAGTTCACTTAATCTAGTATTCTTATTAGAATTTAATAATATGTATATAGTTGAGGCGCTATTTCACTACAAATTTATAGTTACTGATACGACTTTTTTCTCTGAGTGTAATGATAAAAATCTCGATCTCAGATGATCTAAGAATGACTTTATATATAAATGATTTTATATATAAATGACATTATATATGAATGACTTCATATGTATACAAGGTGATCCGAAATTCCCGCATTCGGAGTATAAAGTCATTCTTAGATCATCTGAGATCAAAATTTTTATCATGACCAAAAAATGATATAAATTCATCAATATGGCGTCAAATTGACATTACTTTGATTTTTTTGTTCTCCTTAGGATGTAATATGAATTTTAAATTTTCTCGTAGTGAATAACAAAACGCAATGTTAATTACAATCTCTATGATGGCTTGCAATAATGCTAGGCAAAAATCGCCAGTAACAAAATACCTCCGACCTACACATTTGTGATGAAATCAAATTGTGATGAAAAAAAAAACGCAAGTTAAGCTCGACAGACACTTTGAAAAATTAAAGATGATACTTACAGCAAGCAAGAATACGTTTTCACTCCGACCTGGCGGCATAAAGATTGCAATTGAGATTGTATTCTGTCTTCTATTATTCACTACGAGAAAATTTAAAATTCACGTTATGTATATTCTACGCGAAACTCTAAAAATTTAAATTATTAGAGAGAGAACAGTTTGGTCGGTGGTTGAGAATAGAATCCTCTACATTAATCTCGATGAATGTAAAACGCTATCAACACTATACGTTAAGGTCGTTCATGGAGGCTGCTAACGCTATCACGCTATTGGCTCCACGAACAGCGTTGGTAGCGTTTGCGTTTAGGGCGCACTGAAAAAAAGGATTGGTTGCTGCAGCAAATTAGATAGTAAAATATGACATAGCATTTTTAATTGGTTGCAGCAGCCAATTTTTGGTTGTGTTAGCCTATCGAAATCCTATACTGACATTGTGGATAGG